ATAAATGTTATATCTAAAAGTTAACCTATAAAATATATAAATTATACTATATCCATTTATTCTTTCAATTATTGTTAAACTCTTTTCCTCCATACAAAATAAACACATGCTCATATATACAAAGATATATAAGGTCTAAAAATCCACAATCGTTCATATCATAATCATATAAATATCAAATGGATTCAATAAAGGTGTCCAGTAAACATTATTTAAAACCTTTTTTTAAAAAAAAAATTTTCATTCAATGTTCAATTTTACCAACAACAAAAAAGGAGACCTAAATTGATTTTTAAATGATTTCAAAAACGTTTAACAACCATTTTTTTTTTAAAAAATAAAAAGAGTAGGGAAAAGACATCTATCAAAAAATTTATGATTGTTTTAACATATTTCTATTTATACTAAGAAATTCACTTTCAAATAAATCATATATATATATATACTCTATAGGGTTAGTGTAATAAGCTTCAACCAAGTAATTTTTTTGAATGAAACGTTTTTTTTTATAAAAAAAACAACTAAATATTAATATAAACAAAAGGAAACGAGATAGTGTACCCTCCTCTTATTATCTATCTCATCAATTCATCACTTTTTTAGTCATGCAGTTCCTTGTCATTTGTTCACTATGTAAATATTGAAGAGAGAGAGAGAGAGAATGCGTGAATATAATCGTAAATATAGTTTAAAATTTTCGATTTCTCTCCACCATCACATCGTTTTAGTATTAATATTCTGGTCAATTTTTGGATGGATCAAGTTTATTTGTTTTCATATGAAAATTAACACAGTTCATCTATTCGATGGGATAGAGAGTAATATAAATGACAGTTTAAGTGGTATATATGTATATATATATGGGGTATATCGAACTACATTAGAAAGTGTTTAGCAAAATATACAAAGTATATCGGCTTTAAACTTACATGTTAGTGTGTTTATATATATAGACATATCTTTTGTGACCTTTAAATGTGACCATAATTACCTCAACTGAAAATGACAGTTTTAAAGAATTGAATATGATGAACACAGTTATAAGTTCTTTATTCTAATGTAATTTCAAAAGTACTAATAATCACAGTTTTTTGTCCAACTAAATGAATAGTGCCCCAATCGACTTCAAGTGTGAACTTCAGCTACTAAATCCTTTTAGAGGGGCTTATGATTCATTATGTTTTGTCTTGATTCAGCAGTTGTTGAGTAAACTATATTGCATATTTATGCGTGCTAGAACTTGTTTTCTGTTTCAATTAGATAAAGAATTTATACATGGATTAATAAATGTATTGTTTATATTCTAGACTAAGTACACTTTAATCATTTCATCTAAATGAGTAGTTAACGTTATAGCCATACCATGAAACTGTTGATAAATTTTTTAAAACACTGATTTCACTTGATTCAGAACTGTCATGAATAAATTTGATTTCAATTATATTAGAATAACCATACATTATCTTGGGGGTTATCTTTAATATATTATTCAGTTTATCTCTAGTTACTTATCGACAAATGATTTGTAATGAGTAGGAAAATCTGTTGTCATGATTATTGTTTCAGATATACACGAAACTGTCTAACCTTAGGTTAAACATAATATTCGAATTTTTTATCTGGAATTATTTACTAATGAAAGTTAGAGTTGTGAAAATATCTGCTAATAGAGACATCCCAAATACTTTGTTATATTGAAGTCATTCTATGTGTTAATCAAACTAAAAAGATGATCAAACTTTTTCATATTGCCCATGTTAAAACTAGAGGTTTTTCTGTAATAATCACTTCCAGATTATAAGGTTTTGATTTTTTACAAAGTTTAAGTGGATTGTGATTATTATCTGTTTATATGACAATCGCTAGGACTTATTATTATTCCAGATGAATATGCTCAACATAAGACCATTAGACAAACTTAAGCACTGTTCCATGGAGACACTACATTCACATTATGTCCCTCTTATTACTCGACAGAATAGTGACATTGGAAATTGATTGAATCCTATGGCTCTCATCACAATTGATGATCAATCTCATGCGTGTCAAGTCCTTAGTGCTGATCGAATGCTATCGATCGAGTTGCAATGTGGCCACCAGTCTAGGTGGTTCGACACTGCGTGCACTATATATATTAAGGTAACATGGTGGTTGGAGGTGGTCAACAGGAAACCCTGGACACGGGTTTCGTGCTACTTGGCACTCGTCAGCAAGGTGTACCTGTAATCTTGAGGGAACTGATGCTCCCTGGCGGATTCAATCCCGTGTCACTCAGCTTCACAGTCAGAGACGTTACCAATGAGCTATTCGGGCCGAGCATTCGGTCAGCACTAAGGACTTGTCACGCATGAGATTGATCACCACCCAGTGATCAATCAATTGTGATTAGATCTCAGGCCTACAGGAGGTCGGTCGTGGCCCGAATAGCTCAGTGGTAACGTCTCTGACTGTGAAGCTGAGTGACACGGGATTGAATCCGCCAGGGAGCATCAGTTCCCTCAAGATTACAGGTACACCTTGCTGACGAGTGCCAAGTAGCACGAAACCCGTGTCCAGGGTTTCCTGTTGACCACCTCCAACCACCATGTTACCTATGGTTCTTTTAAGATTCCGATTCACATTCATACCATTGAAGAAAAATGAAACGGTTCTCTAGTCTTGAATCAAATACATATATAATAAGAGAGTCATGATGGAAAATGAATTCAAACGAAATATGTCTTCGCTCTGTTAGATTGTTTTATAACCATATATAGTGACCTTTCCGAATCAGAACTAATTAATTAACATAGTTCTTAAGTGTCGTCCATTCGGTAACTGTTTGTAGAATGTAGTACACGATTACTATTATCATTATTTTTTAACCATCAGCTAAGATTCTTATCTTCTTTTACAAAAATTCATTAAAATATAATTGTCATTTATTTCGTAATAAGAAATAGAAACTGCTTGTTTGATTTTGTTTACCGCTCATTTCCCAGGTGAGGATTTACGTAGTTAAGTTTAAACAAACTCTAGGTTGAAGGGCTAGTGTTATTGCCCAGTTGTTCGAACTAGAATCGTCGAGGAGGGATTAGAACCTCGTAGAGAGAATATTGAAACAAATCAATCACTAATACATTGCTTTACATAATCAGATAATAAAAAGTAATATGATATCCATTTAATGTGGATTGATTTGTCATAACTTTAATAAGTCAATTTTCCATACTTGACGACTATCTCTCACCATTAGTATGTCAAATTTCTTTCCGCAACTAAAAGACTTCCTTCTATTAGTAACAGGTCTAAAGTAATTGCATGTAAGTAGTGTCGTTATAAGATTTGAAAGTCTTTAGTCTTGTGCTAATGTAGAAAACATATATCTCAACTCAACAACATAATTCAAATTGCCTACTGATCATTGTAAATTACTGTCTTCATTTTATCAGAAAGAAATCTTTGAATGTCAATTTAGAAAACATATAGAATAAATGACAATGTCAGTCTTCATATAAGAAAACTAGTTATTAAATGTATATATATATATATATATAATTTCGATAAACCTAACCCTAACAGCATGAATTATGTCCAATGTATTAGTTCACTATTCAATCATAAACAGACCTTATGTATATTAAATGAAATGAATTTTTTTCTCATAGAATTGTTTGCCCCTGTGAAAAGAAAATACGTTAACAGGCTGTTTGTTTTTTCTTTTGTTTAAATATTACTGTGAACATTTACAAATTAGTAGTATTTACCACAGAATTATTATTATTATTACTATATTGTTTATCAGGCATCTCTTGCTGAATATATTGAGCAGTATACAGTATAAGCGGAAATGTACTTCATATAATTATTCTTTAAAAATTATGAAGGGGTAGCAATTCCGATATTTGTGTATGAAAGTGTCAGCATATATATATATAGTCAGTGAGGAACTTCAGCTGACTTTCGAAATAAAATTTCTCATAGATATTGAATGACAAACACAGGAAGAGTTGAAAAGACATCAGTAGGATATGGTATAAAGTATGTAAAATTAAAGGTAGGGAACGAGGTCAAATGAAACTTTTATTTTATTTCTTCCTTTCAGACGAAAACAATTTTTGTTTAAATAAATTTCTAACTTACTTACGTTACCTATATATGCTTATTTTAGGAGAAAAGAAATGATTAAAATATAATGATAATTTTATAAAAACAATCTGTGATTGTGCCGGAAACTTCTCTTTTATTTTTTACTTATATTGAATAAGTTTGTAGGTTTGTATTACAGTGTAGATGTTACTCTATTTCATTTACCTTTGCTGACAGTTAATTATCTGAAAATATTATAGAAATGAATATAATTTTCACTTCTTACTCGCCACTTAACTAAATATTTCCATTATATCTCCTTTTTTTCCCATTAATCACATATTACTTCATACCATTCTTATAAATCATTAGTGATCTTCACGAGAATTAAAGGTACGTTCAGTGGAAAATTTAACCAAGAGTCCTATTAGTTAATTCATACCTGAAAGCATTTTAAACTACAAATAACAATTAGAACAGATAGTGAATTTGTACGTATATGGGGCAAAGTAAAGCATTGTGTATATGAAGTGTCTAGATAATAAGCTTTACTGTGATATCACATTACATAATGGTCATGTTACTAAATGGAAACAAATATTGGTGTATCATTGTTCATTATTTTAAACTCTATAATGATAAGCTCGACTAATTGAGTAAAACTTAATGGTGCTATAATTCAAGTCTATATCATTAGATCAAAAGATGTTTATTTAGTATTAATACAGGTATCGGTTCCAAATAAAATAACTGTAAATTAGCTAATTCGTTTTTGATAGTAGTTGGTCAAAGCAGATTTAGTTGTTGGTTTATTTAATATAAATAAATGTGTATTTGTCTCCTTATTACTTTGATTTCAAGCTTGAAGTCCCTTTAACATATAAATAGACATTTCATTACTGTTTTTCTGTTTTCCATTTTAATTCTTACAGACAAATTATCAGACAACATTGTCTGATCAGCAGAAAGCTTTCTTGAATGAAATGTTACTGTCAGCCGCTGCAGCAGTATCTGCATCAACAGTCAGTGTATCAAAAAGTGATAATCGATTGAATGGAAGCTTCATTAATCAAACATCATCACCTACAGCAACTTCATCTCCGTCGTTTTTTGCATCACCTACATTACTAGGACAATTACCGTCAAATGATTCAAATCCTACAAAATCACCATTTACATTGTTGAATAATATTACGGGACTACCAAATATACCGTTTCAACTACCAGTGAATACGTCACAAATAAATTGTTCATCTGGAACGACAACATCAATATCAACATCAGGTATTCATGAATTATCACCATCATCCAGTTCTGGTCTGGGTTTAAGTAGTGTAAATAGTCCATTTGAAACATCAACAATTACAGCCACTACATTGGCTAACACTGTCTTCATGTCATCACCATCATCCTCTTCCTCGCCTACTAATTCTCTGGGATATCGTAGTATTACATCACCAGGTGGTTGTAGTAGTGGAGGACAATCAAATATTAATATAAGAAATAATCTATTGTCGAATATGCGAACGACACATAAAAGTCAAGAATTCAATCATTTACATACAAATAATATTCTGATGAATGGACAATCTTTAAATTTGATGGATTCCTGTAATAGCGGTAGCCAAGAAGTTACAAATTTACCATTGAACATGCAAAATATAACCCAAGATAAAGAAAAATTCTTGAATTTAAGTAATGAGAACAATGAGAATATTTTTAATTTAACACAATTGAATAAAACATCAAATTCCTCTACTATATTATCAACTGGAATCAATAACAATAGTATTAACTCATTACCCATGTTAAATTGTCCATCAGATATGATGATGTCAGCTTTGGGTAATTTTGTTCATTTAATGCCATCTGTTAATAATTTATTAACTGAAACTACTACTAACAATTTTGCAAATAGTAGTATGAATAATGGCACAACAATGAATCGAATTGATGAAATCAATCAATCAAATCATTTTACTAATCATTTATCCAAATCTATGTTACAATCAATATCTCCTCAACATCAACATCAACAACAATTATTAGTGGCAAATGCATGGTTAACTAATTTAACAAATGGGAAATTTTCAAATTATCCTAATAATTTAATAGATCCATGTGTTATGTTTAATTTATTAAATTTAAATTCTAATACAACAGGAAATAAATTAAATAATGAAATTTCAAATATTTTACCATCAACAGATTTAAATTGTTCAGAAAATTTAAAATTTAAAACAAATACTACTGATTTAAATTCAGTAAATATCAATTCAATAAATTCTGATAATAATATCAATACTACTAATATTACTACTATTAACAATAATATAACTTATCCAATAAATTGGTCAAATTTTAATAATTCAATACCTATCAATGTAAATAACTTAAAAATAAATAATAATAATAATAATAATAATAATGAAATAAGTCACCCAGCAACAAGTATATTCAATAATTTCACTCCATCATTTCAATTAAATAATAATAATGAAACAGTGATAGGTATGAATTTAACAAATAATCAACAAATACAATTAAATAAATATATACAAGATGGTAATACAAATGTTTTCACTTCATCATCATCACCATCATCGTCGTCGTCGTCATCATCGTCATCATCATCAATGAATAATGAAGTTAAAAGTTATCCATTAATGTCGAGAATTTCACTTAGTAATAATAATAATAATAATAATAATAATAACAATAATAATAATAATGGTTATGGTAATATTAATAACAGTAATAATATGTCTTGTTTATTTCCTAATTTAACTTATCCATCATTGGGACAAGATAAATTTTCTTACATGAATACATTACCTTTTATGATGAATGGTATTAATAAGGTATTAGATATGAAAAATCAAGAAATAACAGATCTTTCATTAGATTTATCAACAACATCTACAACTATCAATAATAATAATATTGATAACAATGGAGTTACAATGGTTACTAACTCTAATAATAATAATATAGATGGTAATGACTATAAATACAATAATCAAACAAATGATTGTAATTTTGACATCATTAAAAATATAAAAACTAATGATACTAAAAATTGTATTTTAGATATGAGATCAAATAATCAATTAATGAATGATAAATATTCATCTATTGAACAACAAATGATTAATTCATCATTATATTCTTCAACAAATTATACAGTATCAACAAAACGTAAACGATCACGTCCTGTTTATATTTCACCAGAAAAAGAATTAGTAAGTTTTTGTTTTGTACATATATATTCTGAATTTTCAATGATGTTTATATATTGGAAGAAAACAAAAACATCTAGTAAGTTGCAGGTACGTCCCAATTGGGACGAAACGCGCATCACACTGGATTTCATTGCTAGCAACTATCCATCTTGTGAATTAAGGCTTTATCAAGGCAATAGGCACAGTTTGCACATATGCCAATAAGAGACTGACCAGTTGCAGTTTTAAACATCAATGGGAAGATTCAAATAAACAATACTAAGTGAATTTAGTAAGTTAGTTATCAAGTGCAAATTTGCGTATTGGGTTTTTGAGAGATATATTACGATACAACAGCTGATGTCATAATAAATACACCTTCAAAACAAAGTACAGTAAATAAAGTCTAAACTCGTAACTGAGCAGATGAAAGCCAAATACTTTAGCCACTAGGCCATTAGTATATTTTTAGGAGTTTAATAAAAGGAGGGCTTCCAAACTATAGTTTTTATTATACAATGATTATCTTTAATTTATTGATCAAATGAATTTAACCATTATTTAGATAACATTAACTTCATTAGGGTTTTCTGTAGTTTATAACACAGATTGATATTAGCTAGATAGTCATTAAAAAAATAGGAAACACTTGACACCTGGCTCATCCTGGCATGGGACTCAATTATTCACGTCAACGAATCCGCTAGGGGTCGAACCCATGACATTCGAGTCTTGGGTAGAGTTCTTAACGTTTCTAAATTCATACGATTTGTGTTATTTCACAACCGTCCTGCAATATTACGTTTTAAACATTTGAATCTATTGAATTTGTATGCTACTATCGAAAGTTTTATTAATTGGCTTCTCCAGTTGTTACTACTCTTTTGTAAAAGAGTACCAAGTATGAGATTTGATTATTGTAAAGTAACCTGTGTTACGTCGTATTGAATTTTTTTCATGTAAAACTACTAAATCATGGCTATTCATATCGCCACTTAAATAAAAATAGATTTTTATAACTTTAATCTAGAAGAAATAGAAATGGTTAGAAGACACTTCAATTAACAAGTGTTTCAAGTCTAAAATTGGAATATCATAAACATTAAAATAATAATAATAATGATGATGATTAGGGATGATACCATTCCCATATCCATAATTATGTTTATTTATTTAATGGTAATGTCTGTTCAATGACCAATAAATATTACTGATGAATTTAAAATCAATTGATATGATAATATGAATAATCATTATCGTATACAGTTGGATTCACATTAGATAAGATAAATTTACATTACAATGGTTAGTTGAAATTGACCGTTATAAGACAAAGAAACGATTGGTGACACTATTTGGTAGGGGAGGGGAAGCACCATATTTATTTATTTATTTATGTGCATTTATATATATGTGTGTGTGTTTATATAAATTATAAATCATTATTTATTTGGATTTCTTTATCATCAATTTTCTCAGACTTCAGTATAAATGTAATTAATAATCTTAACTTAAATGTTTCCTGTAGAAAGTTCTACACCGTTTGTATATATATGAATGCAAAAAACTAAAGAAAAAGGTGGTGTTACTGTAGTTTTATTATTTTAATAATATTAGCATGAAGATATAAGAACTCTCGTCTAAATTAGAGCGAATAGTTTCACAGTATTTGAGCGCCGAGTTGATGTAAGACATTAAATAGGAATAATATATTTGTAAAATCTCAGCGAGTGAATTTGTAGTAAATCCAACGTTTCGCCTGGCATTCTGGTCCAAGCTTTTTCAAGGAATTATCTTGAAAATTCCTTGAAAAAGCTTGGACCAGAATGCCAGGCGAAACGTTGGATTTACTACAAATTCACTCGCTGAGATTTTACAAATATATTATTCTTTTTTAATGTATTAGCATGAAGAATTCGAACAAAATTTACTTTATTTTTTTTAGGACCTGTTATGATCAAAATGATATAGGTGTTTTATAGTCAAACGATACTTCAAAGATTTGGATTAAAGTCACCATAAATGAAATATACATAGGATGTCTGTGTTTATGAAGTTAGATTAATTAACTCATCTACAACACGTCCTACTAATAAAAACGAGTAGAAAGTTAGATGAATTATTGGTAAGGAGTAATTAAATTGAATCGTCAACTCGTTTATGAGCTACTGGACATTTCACTGTCATTTCCTTTGACAGACTTACACATTGTGAGAGCACTTTATTTATTCAATCTCGACCTTGGTGAACTAGTTTACATCATAGATCGGAAGGGGTTTTGCTGAGAATTCAGTATTTTCATAATTGAAATCATTAGTCGATTGAAGCTAGACCAACATGGAAAACCTGGAAGTACTGGATGGCTGTTTCGTCCTATTGCGGGACTCCTCAGCAGTGCGCATCCACGATCCCGCACTCTAGAGATTCGAACCCAGGACCTACTAATCTCGCTCCAGAGCACTTAACCGATAGACCACTGAGCCTGCATCCAAGTCTAAGTTTATATCGTCTAAGTGGAAAAAAGTCATTCACACCTTCTTATGAATACTCATTAGTGTAAAATGAAATGGGAAATGATAAAAAAGAAGCTATAATCAATAAATGAATAGTTTTGCAAAGAATCACATTATAACCTATCTAATTAAACAAACTCCATCAATGTAATTGTCACTTAAATTGCTAAACATATATTATATTGTACTATTTCAATTATCAACTGACATTATTGAAGTTTTAATAAATGTTCATATTCTATGTAATACAGTGGATCACAGTTAAGTTGATATTTAAGATTGTAAACCAACAGTTTATTCAAATCTTGTAATCAGTAATCAGAATGCTTTTGCCAGTTAGTTCAAACACATCTAGTTACCGAAATCGATAAAAGATGTTATTAACAGCTAAAGTAAAAATGTCACCATATTTAGGTAATAGTTTATTTCAAATTTATTTGGTTTAATTTGTTTCAACTAGGCATATTTGTTCCTTTTATTAACTAAACAAAGGGCATTAGCATTGAGATCTGTATTGCCATTTAGTCAAGTACACAGTGAGATAAACTATTAAGTGCATGATTTTGGTGTAGCCTCAGGAAGGTCCTAATCATTGCCCTTTCATGGTCGACGTGTTGTCTACGAAATTCAAACGACAGAAAGTGAATTTTAGACGCTTTGACCACGTTCGTGGATATCGAGGATCAACCTAATTCAGTTGGAAAACACTGGTTACATACAAATGGTGCACACTGACTCCAGCATCCTGATGGAATAAATGGCGAATAAACCTATTGTTGGTTACCAACTATCATGAGACTGCATCTCCTAAAGAGACTCCACTACCTCATGGATTAGACCTGTAGGTCGATGGTCTAGGAAACGACTTCTTAAGGAAACCACATGTTTCGGTTTTGGCACCCAGTCAGCATTCCAGCCCTCCCACAAATCGAAAGATAAAGTGTGTTACATATATATTTGGTACCTCCTTGTACCTATGATTATGTGCCTAAATAATTTATAATATTATGTAGCTTGATATACGTCTATTCGATTTATTGATGGTGCCCAATGTGTTATCTTCTGTATAGATACTGAATGCTAAGCATTTACTATCATTATTTAACAGAAAAAAAAGTCATGCTGCAGGTAGATGTAAAACTGATTAGTATACAGATGTACTTGTACATAATTAGATAAAGTTATTGTATGATATCTGTTTGAATAAAAAACTAAGATGACGTAAATCATTGTATGTTTATTACATTTCCTCAATTGTATTTACTTTATATTGATGTAATCGTTTATTTTTATTATTTAAACAATCTTGAAATATAATCATCAACTTATATAAATACATAGATCTTTTATATGGCATCGTTTTGATTTTTAGTACTTCATGAAGTTTTTTCTCCTGTACTTTTCATAGAAACGCAGTTCTATTGAATCTAATCAATCATTTGATGGTGAAGATATGAAAATGAAAAGATATCAAACAGAAAAGACCAATTTAAGTATAAATAACCATAATAATACTGATTCGTGTATTGATGATAAGAAATCCTGTTGGAAAATAAAACAGAATGTACAAAATATATCTGAACATGTTATTGAAGAACATGACAGTGATGAAGAGCACAGATTGACTATTAATCAGTCATCATCACGTTCGTCATCATCATCTTCTTCATCATCAATGTCATTGACGAGAAATACATTCATGCAGTCGAAATCAAATAATACGGTAACACGTAATCAATTATCGTATCATGTTGCTCAGTATTTAATTAAAGATATGAAACCTCCTGAGACAATCGATGGAGAAGGTTTTCGGGTATGTTGAATTTTAACATGTTTGAATTATATCAATATTAAATGATAAAATGCGATTTGAATTTACTTTGAGTGAGATAAACATATATTTTAATAAGATATAATCATATCACAAGAGAATGATAATTAACACCTTTAACACAAAATGACATGATTTAGCCTAGTGGTATCAAACATATGATGTTTTTAGAGAGGCTTAATCATCCTTCCTGAAGAAAGTGAATTTTCGCTGATACACTAATGACTTCCCAATGGTTTCCTAGCAATTTTCTTCATGAAACCTATCTTTGAACGGAGAACTTGAAATAGCTGTAGAAATCATTAGATAATATTGTCTTTTCGGGTAAAAAGTTATAAAATTATGATATTATAAATGTAGAAGGGTTGTGAACTAGGCTTAAATAGTGTAAACAAGAGAAGTTTAACAGTTTAATGGATCTGATTTATGTTTCTATGTTAAAATTGTTTTAATAGTTTTCATGTGTTTGAACAAAGAATTCCATCACTCATTAGTAACAATTTTCTTATCTCGGAGAGGGATTGTGAATACGCACTAGTAACGAGTCCCACAATAGGACGAAACGATTGTCCAGTGTTTCCAGGTGTTCGATGGTGATCTAGCTTCAATTGACTTATGAACTCAATTATCAGATTCCTATGATATCTACAAAAACCTCTTTCTGATGATTATCTCTTTTTCATAAATCGTAATTTAAAATAACCACAGGTTACTAATTTAATACTATACATAGATAGTATTTTGACCTATATTATGAATGGAATAGTAAACATCGAAAATTTTCATTCATTTACACTTTCACTACCTACTATTTTAAATTTATTTTTATCTTTTGTCATCAAAAATAATACATTCAATTATGTACACTTTGGTGACCTAAATTGATTTCCGTTCCTTTTTTTGTTTTTTTGTTTTAGTCTGTTGTCAACACAATGCAAATGTATTGTGTATATACTTTGCTACTTGATACGCATGATAATTTTGTTAATTTCAACAAATTCTATTAGTTACTAGTTGCCTACATTAGATGAACTATCATACATATGACTAATTACTTATTCACAATAATGTTGATGACTTTAATAATTCTAGCTTTCTCATTCTATCTCTCTCTTTCTCTCTTTCAAATTTGCTTATCCCTTTTTTTCTATTTCTTGTTTCTTATTTTTGTATAAAGTAAAAATGAAATTGTATTTTAGTTTTAATTCAACCCGCATTTAAATTCTGACAAGAGTAGTTAAAGAACTGGCAGTAGTAAGGTTGATAGTGGTGATACCAATGATAAGTAGTGAATATTTTCTCAATATTCTAGTCGAAAATTAGATGGGTAATGTTAGTCTCTACCCGGAGAAGTCGTAGCAGTGATTTTTCTCAAATGAAAATTTCAATTATTCTCTTTTTCATTTTACCATTTACCATATCTAATTTAACTAAACTGAATATAGTTTCGGCCATGGTTGTCATGATGATTTCTTTTTTTTAATGTTGTGCTACAAACTTACTGTTTAAGGTTAGTATACTTTCACGCTTTTTTATTGTCTGTCCATCGTTCTGTCTTTCTTCTTATTTCTTCTGTTCACTAGTTTGTTTTTTTTGGTAGATTCTTATATTTAACGACTCATCAACATTTTCTCGATTAATTTATCTCATTTATGATACGGGTTTTCGATACTTATTGTTAATTTTTTTTTCATTTATTTGTGTTCTTGTACCATGAATAAACTGATGGAAACACTATTGTTATCACTAAAGATACAAAATAAGAGTTGTTTCGAGAGAAAAGAAAAGAAGATAGGGAGTGAGCATATATGCATATGTATAAATGTATACATAACTACAAGGCTATCTAGTGTACCGGTATGTATTAGTAGATTCTGTGACTGTAAGATACATACATCTGTCGAAACTTAGAAACAATCCATCTGTCTTTATATTTTTACTTCTGAAAATTGTTTGACCTCTGGATATATATGTTGCTGGATTTAATTTTTTTTGTGTTAAGTTGTTTATTTTTTGAAAATGCTTTTTTTTCGTTCTCACTACTAGTAGATATGATTATCTTTTTATATATAAATATATGTGTATATGCACTGATAGTAACAGCATTAATATAATTGTCTTTTACACGTGACCTATCACTAAAAAAGAATGCATTTATCGAATAGTATACTTTCAATAGTTTTAATATGATGTATGAAAAACAATGAACTTTATTATTTCATTGTTCAAGGAAGTAACTAAGTAAAACAAAGTTAAACCATTTAAAAAAATTCATTTTATTTAATTCGTCCAATTATTTTGATGGGCGACAGTAAAGTTCTTTGAGAAATTGAATGTGAAAATATTGTGTAGTTTTGAGAATTAGACGTTCGTCACATATACACTATACTACAAAGACAAGTACTTCGTGGAAACTTTTCATGGTAGATTGTCTGAGATTAGTTAATAAATCACGAAAAGCCAAATATAATGGTTGTAATAATAGAATTTTAGACCTCAACTCAATGGTCAAAAAGGGTGTATTATCCTAAACGTGTATCGTGAACCTCTTAGATCGACTCTATTTCACGTTATGAATGGGACAGAATAGCCTTCCGGTGTGTTTTGGATTTTAGCAACTTCTTGGTTGTTGCCTTTTCATGGCATCAAAAGCATTATTGAATTTTTAACAATCTTAATATATTTTGTTTTCCAACTGATGTTTTTATATCTAAAATAGTTTAAGATCCCTTATTTCAGTTAAACACTCGTATCATGTAATGAGTGATTACATTAATTTTCCAATAGTGAATAAATCTGGATCTATTATAACTGAATCATACTTGTATGGCTTAACATAAGAAAGAAGACAAACACTGGTTACAGATGAATATTTATCTCATATTCAAGTACTAGATCTTTGTAAATAATATCTCAGTATTCAAATTTATCTCGGATTGATTATTAGTTTAACCTGAGTAACTATAACCTAAACAAATATACTTAATACATAGTTGTTATAATGCTTGGTGGTTTAGCTTCAAATGACTCACGCTTTCAACTATGAAAAATACTGAAATCCCCACAAAACCCCTTCCAATAATTATAATCATGTTTATAAATTATTATGTTTTCATTAAGACTAATAAGTAGTATAAAATGAAATAATTTTCAAAACTTCAATAAATAATCAATCCAATATTAATATTCATAAATCAATACTCTTGTTGAATATTTATTTATCAGAATGGGCTTCGTGGAAATTATAGTATTTTTCATAGTTGAAAGCGTGAGTCAATTGAAACTAGACCACCATGGAAAATCTGGAAGCACTGGACGGCTGTTTCGTACTATTATGGGACTCCTCAGCAGTGCGCATCCACGAATACTCATTTTTTGTTCTCTATATTATTTTTCTTTATAGAAACTTTTGTCATTATTTACAAATCATAAATTACCAACTATAAAAGAAATTTCTGAAATAACATTCCCTGAATTATATACTGAAATAGAAGATCATCTTAATGAATTACTTGACAATAGAATGATACAATCTAATTCATTTAATCCTGCATTCAGTTTTTCAATTGAATTATGGAATACGATAAATAATGATAATAATAATAATAATAGTAATCTATCTAAAGATTGTATAGTCACAGAAAATAAGCAACAGTTTGCAAACATTGGTATTCATTACAATTCTAGTCAACCAACAATAACACATAATTATTTATATAAATCTGTACAAGTAAGTATTTTCAACTGTGTTTATTTATTTATTTATTGTTTAATTTACTACTAACAGACAGAATTATTTTGACAATAATGAACGACAATCTACCTTATTTATTTACGCCTGTTACCTCTTATGGAGGAGCATAGGCTGAACACCATTCTCTATCCTACTCTGTTCTGGTCAATCCTTTCCAGTTCTTTCTAGTTGTTATTCATCCTTTTCATATCTGATTTTATTTCCCGACGTAATGTGTTCTTTGGCCTTCTTCTTTTTCACTTCCCTTCTGGATGCGTACAATCTACATGTGAGAGTTAATAACAGAATAACACGATTAGTACAGTTATCAAGATCAGAAATATGATCAAATTCTCTAATGATAATGAATACAAAGAGTGAAAGTGTTGTGACATAATAATAAAGAGTTTATATATTTCACTGAATATGACAAATACTAATTAATTTCAGCTGAAAGATATAGAAATTAAAGCGATTTACACTAACTAGGATGAAATCTTAAAGAATCGTTAATACATGTCTAGTATTTCCTACTTCTCAAAAATTATTGAGTTAGATTATTGTCAGAGTTGATAAATCAGTATAGTACAAAGAGGCACCAAATATGTATGCAACACATTTTATCTTTCGATTTGTGGAAGGGCTGGAATGCTGACTGGGTGCCCAAACCGAAGCAGGCGGTTTCCTTAAAGGGGTCATTCCCCAGACAATCGACATACAGGTCTAATCCATGAAGTAGTGGGGCAGCGTTAGGTTATGCAGTCTCATGATAGTTGGTAGCCAACAATAGGTTCATTCGCCATTTACTTCATCAGGATGTTGGAGTCAGTGTGCAGCATCGGTTTGTAATCAGTATTTTCCAACTGAATTAGGTTGATCCTCGATATCCACGAACCTGGTTGAAGCGCTCAACATTCACTTTTCGTCGTTTGCATTTGATAGACAGCATGTTGGCTAAAAAAGGGAAGTGGGTCGGAGTTCCCTGAGAGTGGTTACATATGAGAGCATTTCAAGAGGAAGAGTAACTCTCTCCACTGTAGACCTTACCAGGGCATTGGGGGATTTTAATAGTTTTCAAACGTGAATAATTGTGAAGGTCAATTCAAAAACTTCAATTTTTCATAAAAAAATTATTTCAAAGTTAACGAATTGAGTAAATTTCAGCAAAAAAGATTCCAGTTATTGATTAGGGTTAATCGAAGAAGAGAAGTTGTATTGCCTTACACAGTATTTTATAAAATAAATTTACAAAATAATTAGTTACTTTAATGTGAAAATTCTATATTATAAAGTAATCTTATACATGTATCATTACTTTAATATTGTTATTTCTTAAGAATCCAAATCGTACAAATTTACTTGAAGTTATGGATAAATGTCGACAACATTTACTGTCTAAACTTCAACTTACAACAAATGAAAATATGTCAGGAATTTCATCAACATCTATAGAAGTAAATACAATTACTACTACTTCTACAACATCACCATCATCATCATTATCATCGTCTGAGATTACATCAATGGGGTATTCCGATAAAAATAATAATATTAAAACACCGGAACAATCTCAATCACTAATGAAAGTTATGCAATGGCCAGTACCTGTCATAACTAATGATGTTGAATTTTTAAAACATTTAATTGATGAAACCGAATCAAATATTATTATATTACCATGTCTGGTATCAGAATTATCGAAAGCTTTATTAGTAAGTATATTATGTTTTTTGAGTCTGATACAAAAAGTACAATTTATGGGTATAATATGAAAAATGCTAGAAATCGTGCATGAAGTATCGCGCAAATTATAAATAAACGCAGAATATTATTCGAAGTATCTTAAAAAAAGATGATTTTTACACCCAATACCTTAATTCATTTTTAAGTAATATCTTGATTTATATAAATTCATATAGGTGATTTTGATCTAATTTCAGTCAGAAAAAGTAGCAGTATATTAAACATTTTAGAACTATTATAGTTAGATTGTGTCTAGAAGGGGAATTCAAAACTTATATATTTCTCTCTTTTTGGAACTCATCAGTTATGAATGTACCTAGAATGAACTGGAATCCAATTCTTTTCGTATTAAGCAGTAATGTATTATCTATTGAGTTAATAAGTCTGAATAACTATTATATTGTTCAACCGGTATACCGTTTTATCTCAAGTGTGAAAAAATCATGAATTCTTAAACTTTTATTTCTCCATAGTCTGATCTGTGCAGTGATTTGAAAGTAAATTACCGACAAAATCTTTTGAGAAAAAATTCAATCCAACCATCAAATATTATCCTTAATATGAATAATTATGATACTCAAACCTTTCCATTTAATTGGAATTGTAGAGAAAAGAAACGGTTGATGTTTGGTTTAATACAATAAATATTTTTGCAGATTTTAGGGAAGAATTTACTACTTAATTAACACTATATTAACTAAACATTCAGTAATCTTTTGTTGAAATAGTACATTTCATCATAAACTGTTAATATTATCTCTAGTTCAGTACTTATAAATAAACAGAATATAAGCAATTCTAAGGAGTCCTATAATAGGACGAAACGGCCGTCCAGTGCTTCCAGATTTTTCCTGGTGGTCTAGCTTCAATTGACTTACACTTTTAACTATGAAAATACTAAATCTCCACAAAAACCCCTTCTGATAATAAAACAGAATATACAATAATTTGCATAATCTTCAATATTGTTTTGAAGTCACAGATTCTTTTTAAAAGTACATTTTAAAAAAATCAAATCATTAGTTCTTATATCTATAATATAAAGAAATATTTTTAATCAATACTACTATTTCTATCAGTAGCAGTAGTAATAATAGTTTCAATAATAACAATTGCACTTCAGTGATCTTATATAACTGAATGAAATTATTATGATATACACATTCCAAATGATGATTATGATCATTGTTAATTTAAATATGTATTTTCTCTCATTTTTCTCACATTGTATGTTTGCTTGCTACTTTTGTTTCTTTACCAAAAAATGGCAAAGAAAAAAGCAGGTGAATAATACCAAAAAAAAGAAAAAAAGAGAACAGAATTATAATTAGTACCATAATTTCTGTGAATAATTTACTAAAACCTTTAATTACACATGACTTAAAGAGAATAAGTGTTGATAATAATAATAATAACCGTAATAATGATGGTGAGAAAAAATCATGTAGAATTCCTTATTTTCTTACATTCAAATAGACATTTCTCTTGATCCAATTTCTCTCATAACTAATCTACATGTAGATATATATACATATATAGTAATATTTCTTTCTGATTACAAATAATAGTTCATAATATAACTGTGTACTTATGAGATATTGTACAAGTGTGATACATGTGTAGAATTCATGATAATTACAATCATGCATATGCTTATTATATAATTATATTTTATAATATAAAGTACATTGTAGATAAAATTAATATCTATATAATCATATAATGAAGATTAACATCTTAAATATATATATATATATATATATATATATATATATATATATATAGTTGAAATCATGAGTCAATTGAAACTAGACCACCATGGATAACCTGGAAGTACTGGACGGCCGTTTCGTCCTTCAATTGACTCATGATTTCAACTACATATAAAAATTACTAAAAATCTTCACAAACAACCCCATCATCTTAAATATAGTTGGAATAGAAATATTATTTATATAATTTACTTTCAAGAAGAATTCAAAAAGAATATTAAAGAGAAAGAATGTATTTGTAAAATTTCACCGAATAAATGTCTCATATCAACTTGGCACCCAAATACTATGAAACTATTTGATCAAATTTAGACAAAAGTTCTTCTATCAAAAAATGTTGTTAAAATTTTATTATTAATCGTGATTATAAAATGTTAAGATAGGCAACTTGACGAGAAAATAATGTTTTACAATGAGGTGAAATATGTTGAATCGAGAGGAACGAACAAATAATGATCAGTGTGGGGTTATGGTGAATTTTGAGCTTTGATTGAGATCATAAATCGATCAATGATAGATCATCATTGAAAACCTAGTTCTAGTGATAAGTCGTGACCAGCGGAGCTGACCCGTGTGACGCATGGGGGAGTTATCCACCAGAGACAATAAAAGATGGACGCACAATATCATGGATTGGTTGAAGTTAGACATCTACAGGTTGAGCGTTCACACATAAGATCAGGGGTCCTGGGTTTTAATTCGTGTCAGAGATCGTGAACGCGCACTGTCGAGAGAAGTCCCACATTAGGACGAAACGGCCGTCCAATGCCTCCAGATTCTCAATGGTGGTCTAACATTAAATGATTCATGACTTCGATCAGAATAAATAATTAGTTATTTAATTTAGTTTTAAAACTTCGTAAAAGAATGTTTTATTTAAGATGGTGGTTATAGGTAGTCAACAGGAAACGCTGGACCTAGATTTCGAGCTACTTGGCACTCGTCAGTGAGGTGTACCTGTTATCTTCAGGGAACTGATGCTTCCTAACGAATTTGATCCCGTATCACCCAGCCTCACAGTCAGAGACGTTACCACTGGGCTATCCGGGTCGCGACGAACTTCCGATAAGACTGGGATGTTTTCGTAATTGATTGATCACTGGATGGTAATCAATGTCATGTGTGTCAGATCCTTCTCAGTGCAAATCGAATCCTATCGATTACAGGTACACCTCGCAGATGAATGCCAGGTAGCACGAAATCTAGGTCCAGAGTTTCCTGTTGACTACCTACAGCCACTATCTTATGTCATCATAGTGCACACAATGTCGAGTCACCTAGACTAGTGACCACATTACAACTTGGTCGATAGGATTCGATCTTCACTGAGAAGGACCTGACACATATAACATTGATTACCACCCAGTGATTAATCAATCGTGGATATTTTACATCTTAGTTACAAAATACGACATTCAATATATTAGGCCATATATACTATTTGTACAATTAATATTTTGAAACAATTTCATTTCGGTAATTCAAACATAGACCAATGATTTTTGTTATTTATCTAACTCTTTCTTCACTTGAAACGGTATATACGACAAGTTACATTTTATAATTAATAGTTTATAAATAGAAATTTCAGCATATTAAACACTGAAGCATATAAAACTCATAGTAATTCACTTACACTAGGTGATGAAATGTCAGAATCTTAATTTCTCACACATTGAGATATTGCAAATACTATTATTTTTATTTCATTATCACTATGGTAGTAATTAACTTCATGGATTAATATCAGTTATGGAGTCATTGAGGAATATTGTATAACTGTTTTGTTCAAGTTTGGGATCCCTGAATAATACTAATCGCTTTTCCACTATTCACCACAATATATTTAAAAATATAGTGGATTTGTTTCCATAAATCATTTCAATATAAAATTCCTATCATTTTTCTTTTTGTTGGGAATTGCTATTACATGTGCGGATTGTTAAGTAGCAGCATTAGTAACCAGTGGGACATTTGTTTAGTTCACTTTAAATTGATCGAATCCTGTTAATTAGTTTGCGTTGTAGTGATTAGTACAAGTGAATTTAGATTGTACACACTATACTATTCATCATAGGTTAGTCATGATTAAAACAACAAATTGATAATATCTGTAAATTTAAATTTAGGCCAAGCATGTTCACTTCTCACGAGAGGCACCAATTCTCTCAAAACTACCGTATTAGCTAAACAAAACATACCTTGGGCAATCTGGTAACTGTATATACAACAATCTACTATAGAGAAGTAATAGTAATAATTCAATTTATGTAAAATATATCCTATCTTAAAATGAATATAAATTCCACATTTAAACGTTAGTTTACCATCATTGATCATATAATATATTGATCATTTAATATATATATTAGGGGCTGGTACTATGTCAAGCCCACATAGCGTATCTTGGTATCTGAGCTGATCAGTTTATTCATTCCTTTCAAGCTACATTTTGACCTAATCACTTATTCGCTTATCAACATTGACTGCTTTTCATATTATCACATGTGTGCTAATTACTTACCCTATTCATCATATGTCTGTTACTTATTTTTGTTCAACTATAAATATTGATTCACGCTTAATTAAATAGAGTTGGCACACTTGCCTTCTTTATTGTGCGTCATTTCGATATGATTCGCTTCCCGATCAACGATTGTACAAAATATACGCATTCGAAATCCATTCGTGTGTTTGACTTATTTGATTTCGTTATTCGCTGATACAAGTCATTGATTATATACGAGGATTGGCGACATGAGACAGCAATCATTCGTCCAATCTAACTGGAGTCAGATATAGGGTCACTAAAATATATACAAATATATATAGAAAGCCTAATCAAATAAGACTTGTTTAATATCTTCAGCTGGTACTAATTTCTTTTGAAAATTATAGTCAGTAATATTAATCTGATTAGAAAATCATTTTTATCAATGGATACAATATTTCTTATGATAATTATGTGATAAAAAAAACAACACACACACTCTCACTTGACTCCACCCTCATTTTAGATAAATCAGTTAATTGAGTTAGTAACTATTTCTTCAAAATTTGTCAAACTGATAACATATTATCAAGAATATTAATCATGTAGATAAACTTCTACATTAAGAAGACTTTAATAAATACATGTTTACGTATATATATCTATCTATACATAGACACATGCTTAAACAGTTAATTTCACTAACATACCCTACTCTTAAATGTTGAACAAGAAATGAGGGTTATACAGATAAAAATCAATGATTAATGATTTTATATTGTTTATTTATTATTACATGGTAAACTATGTTTATATTAAAAAATAATTGAGAAAAACAAAAGCATTAATGAAAGCTCTATGTTAAATTGTTTACTAATGGAAAGCCAACATGTACTAATATTTATAGAATAATTAAATTTTAGATAGGAGTTGAATTGAGGCAATCCATATAGGATGAATACATATGGTAACTAAGATGGATTGAAATTTATTCAAAGATATCAATAAGAGAATAATTTAAACACTTATAAATTACATTTGTAGCTATTACACAAGTTGGTAGCTATCTAAGCCTAAATACTAAGTGGATAACTCATCAAATGTTTTAATTGAAAGGTATTGGGTTCTAGTCCCAGTGTGACATTCAACTCATGTTAATGTAAATCCAGTTATTGAGTTCTAAACTAGATGAAAATTCAGTCACGGATTACAATGCTAGCTATAATTTAGCTTTAGAAAAAACTTTTAGTTAATGACACTATTGAGGCAATCCTTACAGAATGTACATATTATAAGGGGTTTGGTGGAGATTTTAGTAATTTTATAAAGTTGGGATCATGAGTCAATTGATGCTAGATCACCATGGAAAACCTGGACGGCCGTTTCGTCCTATTGTGGGACTCCTCAGCAGTGCGCATCCACGATCCCGCCTTGCGAGATTTGAATTCAGGACCTACCAGTCCTACATATGCCAACTAAAACTGATTAAGATTTATTTAAGAATGTCAGGAAGCATATAGTTCAATAGCATATAAATTAAATCATAGGGATTCATTATTTCATCATGACTTATTATTATCCAATAATTTAACCTTTTGCTCTTTTCCTTTAAAACTTTTTTTTACAAAGGTAGGACTCAATACTGATATAATTCGAAACTTAATAAAGAATCTATTAAAAGTGTATCAATATAAAACAATGAAAAATATAACAGAATATTCTGTTAACAAGCTTAGTTTAGATGAAGTGAAAAAGTCAAATTGTTGTAAAGCTGTTTATGATTTATTAAACTGGTATCTAAATGAGTATTCTGTTGATAAAGATAATAGTGAAAATAAAAATGAAATTATCATTAATGGTGACAAGGAGAATACAAATGAAAATGATCTGGATGAAATTGATTTACAAAATGTAAAAGGCATCATTTCTGTCTTCGATGTAAGTTTGATTATTTTATTGTTACTATAACTATTTCAGTAATCTACCCTTTAAATATATTCAAAAACTAAGTTGAGATTTATTTATTCATCTTTGATTAACATCAACTGTGTATGAAACTATCTGGTTGTTGAAATCAAGCTGAGTTTGAATCTGGAACTTGACAGTTGAAAACTGAATACTACCACGGTTGTGTTAGTAGTAATAACAATAAAAATACAGTGGTAATTAGTTGGATTAAAGTAAACGAGTTTAATTGAAACGAAAATCTATGCTAAAATGAATCTAATTTGAATGCAGAGTTTGTACATTGTACTAGTAAAAGTATTTGAGATATTAATTTGATCATTTATAACGCAAACTCTCTGTCTTTCCAATATAGGCTTCAGGAAGTTTCTCTGACAGATGCTAGTGCTTCCGAAATAAAGCTATTAAACTTCTCGATTATTATATAGTTTTGGGTGTTTACCCGGTCTATTGGTGAACACGGAAAATTCACCTAGGGGAGTTGGAAAACCCTAATTACAAACTAATGGTGCACATGGGCTCCAGTATCCTGAGGGAACAAATGGCGTATGAACCAACCGTTGGTCACCAACAACCATGGGACTGCATCTCCTCACGATACTCCACTGCCTTGTGGATCAGATATTCAGATCAAAGGCTCCGAGTGCGGCCCCCTAACGAAACCACCTGCTTTAGTCTAAGCACCTGGACAGTATCACATCCCTCACACAAATCAAATGAGATTTGTGTGGCGCATATATCAAAAACTTTTTAAAAATTAAAAATAACTAAACCGTTCCCTATTCAAGACATATTTAAATTGTCTTGTAGCTGAGCACATTCTAAATGAGCTGTTAGAAGTTTTGTTACTGCTTAGTTTCATACATCATTAAATTTAATAGAATCATTATCTCAATAATATATTTTAATTTCTGACAGACAATCGGACAAACTTTGGAGTTTATCCACAAGAAAGATCTAATTCTAACTGGTTCAATGATCAAGCCAATATTAACAAATTTATGTGACATACGTCTTGCACATGAATCATCAAATTTAACTATAGTTGAAGAATTCAAATCAACAATTGTATCTTATTTAATGAATTCTTTCCCTAATAATGGTGCCATTTATGAAACATTATGGATTGCCAGTTTATTGGATCCACGTTTCAAAAGTCAAGTGCAGGATAAAAAACCAACAGTGATTAAATTGTTGAGAATGAAGGTAATTCACTTTTGACGGGTACATCGACATTTTATTAATATATTAGTTTACATGGTAAATTTCAGTCTACTACTAAATTCACGACTTTATAGAACATAGCTAACAAAAGAGAACTATTTAGTTATATCTATGAAAGTATATATTTATTTCTGTTCCGCATTTTTACTGTACTTTTCAGGTTGACGCCATGTTCACCCAATCTCCTACTAGTAACGTCTGTAATAATACACCTAAATCAAATTCTGATAATCAATTACCAACTGAGACAACAACCTCTTCTGTTGACTCAACTACCATATCAAACAAACATAGTGGATTAGAAACTGTATTTGGTTTAAATTATTTTCCACGTACATCTCTATCTGAAGTTGATCGTTATCTTCGTGAAGATCCTATTGGTTTAGAAGAAGATCCTTATAAATGGTGGCAAACAAAATCATCTAATTATCCAAATTTATCTTTATTAGCTATGTATTATTTAGCTATATCATTGATATGTATTACACCAGAACGATTAAAATCATTAGATCATTCTGAAGCTAATAATCAATCTAATCCAGATATTAAATTAAATTTATTAACATCAATATATGGTAGCAAAAATAAGGGACAATTTCCTTCAACATCATTATTATTATTAGATTTACCTAATATCAATGATGTATTTGGTCAAGGTCGTTTAAATATTCATAATGATAATCAAATCATGTATAATTATTTATGGCATAATTGGCATTTGACAAAATTTGTTTAAATCTGCTTTTTCTCTTTGTTTGCTTGATTCTTCTTTTTTCTTTTCTTATTTTGTATAGACCAGTAGTTTTCTCTGTTGAATATCATCTTGGAACAATTTCGTTTATTGCATATAGTTTCGTTTTTTCTAATTGACTCATTCTACTTTATTAATTTTCACTGCGTTTATTTACCCCTGTGATATGTAAATTAAACCCTATGAATGTTATAATCATTGCCATCTATCTGACCCATGGTATATATAACATACCCTTATAGAAGTACAAACACTGTTAAGCAATGCTTATTCCATGCTATAATTGATATAATCCCCATAAAAATAGTCTTGATCGTTCTTCACATACTTTTCGTTCAATTTTCTTTAAACCATATTTTAAAACATTACAAAATGAATGATAGTTAATTTTGATATTCATTTACTACTTCTAAGAACATTCCTTATAGTAATTATGAATAACATAAATAATGTTGACAGGTTTTGTTTATTTAAAAGGGAAATAAAGAAAGTATAAAGGAAAGTGACGAAACAAATGACTATACAACTTTCTTCTTTTTTTCACTGCATAAAATAAAATGAGTTTTTTATTTTCTTGGTAAAATGAAAGAAAAACAACAAGAAACCTGTAAATTTCTTTAATCATTCTATTATGAATGAATATAAATTCATCTTTCATATATATATACATAGTTACCCAAATATATTTTCATTCACTCTACCAGTTTTACCATAATATTTACCAGCAATTTAAAAAAAACAACCATTGTAAATGTTATTCTTTTACTGTATCAAGTGTTAAAATCTTTTCTGGGCAATAATAAATACTTACGTCAATTTATAGGTAACACAAGTTGTTACCAGGTATTGGTATTATTATTACTACTATTAATGTATGTATTGTTTTGGTTTCTGTTTTTTGTTTTGTTTGGTACTATAAATATTTTCTATCTTCATTTTTGTACAGTTTATCATACTTTCATTAACTGATGATGATACATCACCAGTGAAAGGAAGTGAGAGAATAAAATTATTTAATGAATGTATAACTGTGTTCTTTTGTCTTGAAAAAAAACTTTAATTGTGTTTTTCTTTTTAAAAAAATTATTCCACACAATTTTATTCAGTTTATTTTCTAAAAAAAATGTATGCTATAACGTGTTTCATTATTATAGATAAATAAATAATTCTATGAATTTCATCGTTTCATTGTTGTTGTCGTTGTTGACTTTTAAGAGATTATCACCATTTGTCGGATCATCACCATGTACTACTGATATGGATATAAGTAGACCACATCACACGCGTCCCCACTCTAAAACATTCGTTCATGTGGTGGTTCTACTCGCCATGCCACTTTCTTCTTTCACTGCAGTCTGTGCCAAGCTCTCCGTCAGAATGTCGAGTCTATGGTGCGCTGACCTACATAGCTCCGTCAACCTGCCGGGCCACCAAAATCCGACATCCTCCTGGCATCTGGGACATTCAACACCCGCATTTCATAGGCCTGCTAAGCCATCTACATCCGATGTCCGCCCAGCAGCCACACGTCCTACTGCTCCTCTCCATCGACAGCACCTGCCACAGCCAACGCCGCCCCGCCAGAACACTCCACTCGACGTCACCTCTGCGCATCAGACTGCCTCAACCAGCACCTCAATTCCAAACCCGCAGCGGCGTCTGCAGAACAGCGACCTTCCTCATTCTTGTTGGCAGAGACACCAAATGCAATGAGCAAGAACACGGGTGGAGACAATCGAATGTTTTTAAGCACAAATTACAGACTATCTGACTACAATCTGATAACCGTCCATTTAACAACTCTGTTAAGAACGCTTCTACTATGTCATGTGGTTTGCCGAACTGGTTGTGTAGAATGTTAATAGCTTTGGTATAACCTTCACCTTCTGGTAATAAAACACAATGCTCTATAGCGTCCTTAGCTGCTCCTTCACAATAATGTCTCAGGTACATTAATTTCTGAGTATCACCCTCTACTCTGTCGGCAATGTTAGCCTTGAATCCCTTTATGAACGTCCAAAATTTCAAAGGACTTCCATCAAATTTCATAACCTCTATCTTAGGTAAACTGGCTGTCATAACTAGTGACTTGATACTATCCGCCTGTGCTTTAAGTTGTACCGCTTCGCTCAAATGTGTGTTGGTGTATTGGCGCCTTAACACGGCTGCTGGTGTTACGTCTCCAGATCGAGACCCCAATGACTCATTAGTCTCACTCACTTTTCTCACTTGGCTTAAAGAGTTCGGGGTTAACTCTAACAATCGTTTGCGTAGTTGAAGTTCTCTAATCTCCAACTCAATCTTTTCTACTTCCTTCTCCCTAGAAACTACTTCGTCTTCTATGCTACATCTAGTCTCTACATAGTTGTCCCTTACAGAACAGCTGTCTTTGGGGTTAAGTAAAACATTATCAAGAGCAAGATTTAAAGAAATAGGTGAATTCACCTTAGAAACTGAAGGAATAATATTTTCAGCATTATAATTGTCTGTGTCTTGGGAACTGTCATCGTTGTACTTCATCCTTCTCGTTTTCGTCATCGTTAGTTTGAATGAACCAGACTCGATTCCGACCAAATTAGTTACAGCAAGTATCTTCAACAATTAGGACCAAAGTTCAGAACTGTATCCACACCAATAAGACCAAAGTTGAGAACTGTTAAGTCTATCGAAGCAAAATAACAATCAATTGTCTCAATCTTAATTGTTCCTTCTGCAAATATTAGTCCGTCTTCTCTGATTTTATTGTTCATACATTTCCGTACTGATTGCGCTTCATTCCTGTTCTTTACTTATCAATCTTCTGCCGAAATACATTCTATGTCTGACCATCACTATATCCTACTTATGTGGTTATAAGTAGACCACACCACAGTAGTAGTGTAGTAAACGAGAACACAAGTGGGGATAATCGAATGTATTTGAATACAAAATTACAGTATGTCTTAGAACCATATAGTAAATACTTCATTTATAAAATATCAATCGACTGTCTCAGACTTCATTGTTCTTTCGTTTCCAAAGTAATCATTCTCTGTTCACGTTCTCTTTTCTTTTATCTTCTTAGCCTTCTGCTTCTAGGCATTTCACTTTCGATTGGTGGTACATACTACATCTGTCGACATCAGTAACACATACCACAGTAGTAGTAGTAGTAGTAGTAGTAGTAGTAGTAGTAGTAGTAGTAGCAGTAGTAATATTAATAGTAGTAGTGAAAAGCAAAAAGATTGTGAATGGCTAATGACAAAAAATTTATCCAATGAACTATACAGACATTCAAAAGCAAATAACTAGTATCCTATTGTTAATTCAAAAACCTAAGAACATGAATTTTTCTGTCATATCTTAATGATATAAATCTCTTTTCACAAACCTGAAACAAATAAGGTAGGGAAACAGTCTAGAAAAGTGAATATTTACTTCCGTTTAGCTATTGGAAATGTGCATTAAAAAAACAAAGGCCTTGAACTTTCTGATGATCGTCTTCAAATATTCAACATTAAACAAAGTTCACGATAATATTGAATCGTTTTGACTAGTGAAGGTGTTGTAAACTATACGGATAGAAACGGACTATCACTAAACAAATGACAATATTATGTCAACTAGAATATTATCATTAATAAATCAAACTTAAAAGCTAAATTCTTGACCACAATAGCCCAAATGTCATGAGTGACATGAATTTATATATGTAAAGAAGTTTCAGTTCTGTAAAAATCAAAATAAATAAAAAAATAGACAGAGAAGTGGGATTAAATTTAACGAACCAGTATTTTGCGTTATAGATTCAAATAGGTTTAGATGGTGGAAGGGGGAGTACATACTGTTAGTCGATAACTTCTCTTAGAACCAATGTTAATCTGAACAGATTGTCTAACAACATATTTGTAGTAGGCAGAGTAATCCGCACAGGAATATTCTTAAAATTGTTGTTTTTTTAGATTTCCTGTTCACATCAGAAATTTGTAATGCTAAACATTAATTTGGTAGGCTTTACACGTGTACTTGATGGAATTTCTGATGATATTGTCCAGAACGACAATGGGAGCTCTTGAATTAAACCACCCAGGCAAAAGAATATAACAAAACCTGTAACATTCACATCATCCTTAAATCACCATCATTTCCTAATTAGTTAATAAATTTACCAGCTCACTAACTTAAAATTTAATGTCAACAGCTTCGTGAGCTAGTAAATATAGTTTGTCAATAGAAGAGCTTTTCAAGTTAGATAAATACATCATAACAGATAGAGATATCTCAGTAGAATATATAAATGAACATGATGAAAAGAAACTTTTTTGCTGCATCAGGTTTACGTCCATGAAAACTATAGATTTTTATTTTAATGACATAAGTTGATCTGAATAATTATGTCGTACGGGTTGAAAGCTACAACTCTCACTGTAACATCAAAAGACACGGGTCTTCGACTTTTAGCGAATAAACTTTTTCTCAGTTATAGGAAACAACCTAGTAAGAATAAAATTCTTTCTGACTGTCTCTCTTCACTTAATACATATATGTTAAGAATATTTCAAGAGTTTCTTCATTTACTCTTTTCTAATATGAACAATTCTAATCGATAGCTTTGACAAAAACTAGTAAATCAATATCGGCTAAAGTTTTTTAACCGGTTAGGTTTAAATCCAATTTGTATTTGTAATAAGAATTAATTAGATCTTAGTAAGTCTTTCCAAGTACACAAGGTTTACTGTTATATAGATTCTGATTTAAGTCAATATTTTTAAGGTAACTATTATCAGAACAGAGATATGATTTAACTGTTAACAGTATTGGTTGCCATAGTTATGTTGTCTTTTCAGTGTTTACATTCCATCTGGCTTCAGTCATATTAGTATACTTATCTGTTGAAAGCTTATGTATTTGAGCTTATTACATAATTCAAGCAAATAATTACTGGTTATATGATAATAGTTTTTAATTTAATGATGGATATTATTGAAACTTTTAATAGGTAGGTTTCAATGGACTTGAAATGTTCAGCTTACATAACCCTCAAAGTTTTAGGAAATTGTTAATCAACAAAGAGATTGAATAAAATGAAAATAATGTAAATATTATCTACAGACCTGACTTGAAATATATCGTTAACTTTAATTGTTAATAAGCCCAGTAATATTAGTAAATTCTATTTAGAGAGCTAAGTTATCCTAAACGTTTTAATGTTTTTTTCAAAATAATTGAATTCATGAGTCAATTAAAGCTAGACCACCATGGAAAACCTGGAAGCGCTGCATAGCCGTTTTATCCTAATATGGCACTCCTCAGCAGTGCACATTCATAATGTCTTACTCGGGACTCGAACCCAGGACCCACGGTCTCGCAAGCGAACGCCAAACCTCCAGACTACTGAGCCGGATGGCATCTAGCGGTGCTAATGTCTAACTTCAGCCATTTCACGATATTACGCTACCGTCCACTATTGTCTTCGGTGAGTCACTGCCTTACAATACACACTGTTGAACTCCACTGGTCACTGCTTCTCACTAGAACTCCACGAAATATCTCTTCAATTCAGTCATTGGTGAGCATTTGATTATTATTATTATTATTATTATTATTATCAAAGTTGGGGGTTTCTAAAGATTGGAGTAATTTAATAGTTGAATTCACGAATCGATTAAAGCTAGACCACCATGGAAAACCCGGAAGAACTGGCTGGCACTTTCGTCCTAGTATGACCCACCTCAAACCCTAATAGACATCTTTTAAACTCAATCAAATACCGTTGTTTTCTAATATAAACCAGATTACATTTTTAGAAACCGGTTAATCTATAAAAAGAACAACTTCTAATACCAAGAAAACTAGTGACATATGAACAATAAAGTGCTGTCTGAGTAATTAAAATATTTACCATAACTTTGGGTTTATCTGTAATCAATTAATAGTGATGAGACCGATGCGAATTTTATCAGTACGAAAGATTTCTGCCTAAATAATTCAAATGATAAAAAGTATAATTACCATTAAGAACTTTGAGATCTTAATCAATTAATCTTCTGCTCGACAAAAATGAAAGCCATTTATCTTAATCAAAAATTACTTTAAACATGATTTACTAACATATCTGTGGAAAATAAAATTACATTGAAAAACCTTTTATATATTTTTACATGAATGTGGTTGGCATAAGTAATTTGCCAAATACAATCT